GAACTCAATGCATTTTATGCAAGATTTGACAACAATAACATTGGGCCGGGTGTGAGGGCCGTCACCGACCCAGAGGATTGGGTGATCTCCCTCTCAGAGGCCGACGTGAGAAAGGTCTTTCAATAGGTCAACACCCGCAAGGCCTGATGGGATTCCAGGGCGCGTTCTCAGAGCATGCGCAGAACAGCTGGCAGGCATATTCAAGGTAATTTTCAACCTCTCCTTACAGACTAGGGTCTGTAATCCCCGCTTGTTTTAAGATGACCACCATCATTCCTGTCCCCAATAACTCTAAGGCTTTATCCCACAATGCCTACTGCCCTGTAGAACTCACTTTTGTAATCATGAAGTGCGTTGAGAGGCTGGTTATGGCACACATTAACTCCACCATCCCAGACACCAATAGACACACTCCAATTTGCATACCGCCCCAACAGATCCATAGATGACGCAATCTCAATTGCTCTCCACACTGCCATCACCCACCTAGATAAGAGGAATACCTATGTGAGAATGCTGTTCATTGACTACCGCTCAGTGTTCAACATCATTGTCACCTTCAAGCTTGTCACCAAGCTTCGGACTCTGGGTCTGAACACCTCCCTCTGCAACTGGATCCTGGACTTCCTGACAGGCTGATCCCAGGTGGTGAGGGTAGGCAACATCACCTCCGCCACACTGACCCGCAACACAGGAGCCCCACAGGGGTGTGTTCTTAGTCCCCTCCTGTACTCCCTGTTCACCCATGATTGCGTGCCACGCATGACTCCAACACCATCATCAAGTTTGCTGATGACACGACGGTGGTAGGCCTGATCACCGGCGACGATGAATCAACCTACAGGGAGGAAGTCAGTGACCTGGCAGTGTGGTGCCAGAGCAACAACCTCTCCCTCAATGTCAGTAAGACCAAGGAGTTGATCGTGGACTACAGGAAACGGGGCGGGCGAGCACGCCCCCATCCACATCAACAGGGCTGCAGTGGAGCAGGTCGAGAGCTTCAAGTTCCTCAGTGTCCAAATCACTTAAGACTTAAAATGGTCCAAGCAAACATGCACAGTCGTGAAGAAGGCACGACAGCGCCTCCTCCCCCTCGGGAGGTTGAAAATGTTTGGCATGGGCCCTCAAATCTCTAAAAGTTATACAGCTGTACCATTGATAGCATCTTGACTGGCTGCATCACTGCCTGGTATGGCAATAGCACCACCCTAGATCCCCTGGGCAGTTCTTCCTGCCATCCAGGGCATCTATATCAGGCGGTGTGGAAGGAAGGCCCGGAAAATTGTTAAAGACTCCAACCACCTAAGCCATAGACTATTCTTTCTGCTTACGCACGGCAAGCGGTACCGGGTCATCAAGTTTGAAACAAACAGGCTCTTGAACAACTTCTATCCCCAAGCAATAAGACTGATAAATAGCTAACAAAATAGCTACATGGACTATCTGAGTTAACCTTGTATCTTTATTGACCTTCTATTTTTATTTTTGCACTGTCTCTATACACACTCACAGGGCCCTACACACTCACACACACACTCACTCCATCATCTGCTCACTCACACATAATATGCACATACTGTACATTTATACTGACTCTACACACACGCACACCCACTAACATACAAATCAAATCAAATCAAATTGTATTGGCCACATGCGCCGAATACAACAGGTGCAGACATTACAGTGAAATGCTTACTTACAGCCCTTAACCAACAGTGCATTTATTTTTAACAAAAAAGTAAAAAATAAAACAACTACAAAAAAAGTGTTGAGAGAAAAAGAGCAGAAGTAAAATAAAATAACAGTAGGGAGGCTATATATGCAGGGGGGTACCGGTGCAGAGTCAATGTGCGGGGGCACCGGCTAGTTGAGGTAGTTGAAGTAATATGTACATGTGGGCAGAGTTAAAGTGACTATGCATAAATAATTAACAGAGTAGCAGCAGCGTAAAAGGATGGGGTGGGGGGGCAGTGCAAATAGTCCGGGTAGCCATGATTAGCTGTTCAGGAGTCTTATGATCTGAGGACCCATGCCAAATCTTTTCAGTCTCCTGAGGGGGAATAGGCTTTGTCGTGCCCTCTTCACGACTGTCTTGGTGTGTTTGGACCATGATAGTTCGTTGGTGATGTGGACACCAAGGAACTTGAAGCTCTCAACCTGTTCCACTACAGCCCCGTCGATGAGAATGGGGGCGTGCTCAGTCCTCTTTTTTTTCCTGTAGTCCACAATCATCTCCTTTGTCTTGGTCACGTTGAGGGAGAGGTTGTTGTCCTGGCACCACACGGCCAGGTCTCTGACCTCCTCCCTATAGGCTGTCTCATCGTTGTCGGTGATCAGGCCTACCACTGTTGTGTCGTCGGCAAACTTAATGATGGTGTTGGAGTCGTGCCTGGCCATGCAGTCATGGGTGAACAGGGAGTACAGGAGGGGACTGAGCACGCACCCCTGAGGGGCGCCCGTGTTGAGGATCAGTGTGGCAGATGTGTTGTTACCTACCCTTACCACTTGGGGGCGGCCCGTCAGGAAGTCCAGGATCCAGTTGCAGAGGGAGGTGTTTAGTCCCAGGATCCTTAGCTTAGTGATGAGCTTTGAGGGCACTATGGTGTTGAATGCTGAGCTGTAGTCAATGAATAGCATTCTCACGTAGGTGTTCCTCTTGTCCAGGTGGGAAAGGGCAGTGTGGAGTGCAATAGAGATTGCATCTGTGGATCTGTTGGGGCGGTATGCAAATTGGAGTGGGTCTAGGGTTTCCGGGATAATGCTGTTGATGTGAGCCATGACCAGCCTTTCAAAGCACTTCATGGCTACAGACGTCAGTGCTACGGGTCGGTAGTCATTTAGGCAGGTTATCTTAGAGTCCTTGGGCACGGGGACTATGGTGGTCTGCTTGAAACATGTTGGTATTACAGACTCAGTCATGGACATGTTGAAAATGTCAGTGAAGACACTTGCCAGTTGGTCAGCACATGCTCGGAGTACACGTCCTGGTAATCCGTCTGGCCCTGCGGCCTTGTGAATGTTGACCTGCTTAAAAGTCTTACTCACATCAGCTACGGAGAGCGTGATCACATAGTCATCCGGAACAGCTGGTGCTCTCATGCATGCTTCAGTGTTGCTTGCCTCGAAGCGAGCATAGAAGTGGTTTAGCTCGTCTGGAAGTCTTGTGTCACTGGGCAGCTCGCGGCTGTGCTTCCCTTTGTAGTCTGTAATAGTTTTCAAGCCCTGCCACATCCGATGGCTTCTGGTTGGGGTATGTACGTACGGTCACTGTGGGGACGACATCATCGATGCACTTATTGATGAAGCCAGTGACTGATGTGGTGTACTCCTCAATGCTATCTGAAGAATCCCGGAACATGTTCCAGTCTGTGCTAGCAAAACAGTCCTGTAGCTTAGCATCTGTGTCATCTGACCACTTTTTTATTAACCGAGTCACTGGTGCTTCCTGCTTTAGTTTTTGCTTATAAGCAGGAATCAGGAGGATAGAGTTATGGTCAGATTTGCCAAATGGAGGGCGAGGGAGAGCTTTGTATGCGTCTCTGTGTGTGGAGTAAAGTTGGTCTAGAGTTTTTTTTCCTCTGGTTGCACATTTAACATGCTGGTAGAAATTAGGTAGAACGGATTTAAGTTTCCCTGCATTAAAGTCCCCGGGCCACTAGGAGCGCTGCATCTGGATGAGCGTTTTCCTGTTGATTTATGGCCTTATACAGCTCATTCAGTGCAATCTTAATGCCAGCATGGGTTTGTGGTGGTAAATAGACAGCTATGAAAAATATAGATGAAAACTCTCTTGGTAAATAGTGTGGTCTACAGCTTATCATAAGATACTCTACCTCAGGCGAGCAAAACCTCGAGACTTCCTTAGTATTAGGATTTTGTGCACCAGCTGTTTTTTACAAATATACACAGACCGCCACCCCTTGTCTTACCGGAGTCAGACGTTCTATCCTGCCGATGTAGCGTATAGCCCGCTAGCTGTATGTTATCCATGTCGTCGTTCAGCCACGACTCGGTGAAACATAATATATTACAGTTTTTAAAGTCCCGTTGGTAGAAAACCGTAATCTTAGGTCATCCAATTTGTTCTCCAATGATTGAAGATTGGCTAATAGGATTGATGGGAGCGGCAGTTTACTCGCTCGCCGTCGGATCCTTACAAGGCACCCGGACCTACGTCCAAGATATCTCAGTCTCTTCCTCATGTGAATGACAGGGATTTGGGCCTTGTCGGGTGTCTGTAGGATATCCTTCGCGGCCGCCTCGTTGAATAAAAAATATTCGTCCAATACGAGGTGAGTAATCGCTGTCCTGATATCCAGAAGCTATTTTTGGTTATAAGAGAGACGATGGCAGAAACATTATGTACAAAATAAATTACAAATAACGCGGAAAAACACACATAATAGTACAATTGGTTAGAGGGCTGTAAAACGGCAGCCATCTTCTCCGGCGCTGCTGCTACTCTGTTTATCTTATATCCTGTTGCCTAATCACCTTTCCCTTATATATATATACCGCCATCAATCCAGTATCCCTGCACATTGTAAATATGGTATTGGAACTGACCCTGCATATAGTATGCTTACTTACTTATTGTGTTCTTCATATTTCTTATTATTTATTGTGTGTTTTTTCTAGTATTACATTGTTATTGATTATTGCATTGTTGGGTTTTGAGTTTGCAAAAAAGGCAGTTAAGTGTACTTGTGCATGTGACATAAAAAATGTGAAACTTGAAATTCAATGAGTGCTCGAATACTTGTTTTTATTGTAGCAGTTCTGAGGAGGACGAAGACTATAGCCTGCTGGTCCTGTGGAACATAGAACATTCAGAAACACTGCTCTATACAGCTTCCATCTTCTAATCATCTCCTAGGTATTGAACATACCATGCCCAGGGCCTACTGATCGAGTCATGCCCATGCAGGGAGAGAGAGAGGCCCATGCAAAGGGGGTAATAGGAGGCCAAGAAAAAAGAGGGCGACACATACACTTACCCTGTAGTAGTCCGTACTGTACACGTCTCGGGACATGCCGAAGTCACCGATCTTCACCAGCAGGTTCTCTCCCACCAGACAGTTACGTGTGGCCAGGTCTCGGTGGACAAAGTGCTGGGAGGCCAGGTAAACCATGCCTGCAGCGATCTGCTGGGCGATGTGCAGCATCTGGGACTGGGTCAGCTCCACGGGTCGGTTTGTCGGACCGTCACCCATCATCACAGAGTCGGGACCGTGAGCCCTACAGAAGGAGAGGAGGGGAGAGAAAATACATTGAAATTACAAATCACCACCAGAAATGTGACATCCCATATGTTTCTTAGAACTTAGTGAGAGCATGGTTGTTCTATTGTTATTTTGCATACAACTTTCCCACAACTTCCTAGGAATGGTGCAGGATAGTTGCTTGGCTTAGAACATTCTCAGCATATGTAGCCCTTTTCTGCAGTCAATGGCTATTGGCATTACACACCTGGCTAAAAGATTGCTGTAGCTCTGTTGGAATCACTTTTAAAGATAACTTTGACACCTTCTGGAAACAGTAGATACTCTACAGGAATGACGGAATCGATCCAAATCATCTTGGCTCCTGGACTCTGTCCACGCATTTCAAGGCTGCGTTGAGACAATGACTTATCAATGACCCAAGACCAGCTCAGTTAATCCCTACCATTGTGACGCTGAGTTGTCATAATGCTGTATCAAATGTACATTATCCTAGGGGCATTGGCAGACACAATGTAAGTAACTTAATGTATGTCCCCCTAACTGCCCTGAATACCTCTGTTGATCCTACAGCTATTGTATGCAGTAATCATGTGCCTATGAACTAGAGTTACACTGTTAGCACTGAGGCGGAGTGCCCTAGTAGGAAGTCCACTGTGTGCAGCTCACCGTGCACTATCAGCTCCAATACAAATAATGTGAGCAAGTCTACTTCTGATAAGCTTCCCAGTAAAGCATTAAAAACAATCAAGCAACCCAGAAAAGTCCTAAAAATAGCCCATACTACCATATGTAGCCTAAGAAACAAGGTTCATGAAGTCAATAACTTGCTTTTAACAGATGACATTCATATTCTGACTATCTCTGAAACTCACTTAGATAATACCTTTGATGATACAGTGGTAGCAATACATGGTTATAACATCTACATAAATGACAGAAATGCCAATGGGGGCGGTGTTGCGGTCTATATTCAGAACCACATTCCTGTAAAGCTTAGAGAGGATCTCAATGTTAAATACTGTTGAAGTAATATGGCTACAGGTTCATCTGCCTCACCTAAAGCCCATTCTTGTGGGAAGCTGCTATAGACCACCAAGTGCTAACAGTCAGTACCTGGATAATATGTGTGAAATGCTTGATAATGTATGTGAAATCAACAGATAAATATATTTTCTGGGTGATTTAAATATTGACTGGCTTTCATCAAGCTGCCCACTCAAGAAAAAACGTTGAACTGTAACTAGTGCCTGCAACCTGGTTCAGGTTGTCAGTCAACCTACCAGGGTAGTTACAAACAGCACAGGAATGAAATCATCAACATGTATTGATCACATCTTTACTAATGCTGCAGAAATTAGCTTTAAAGCAGTATCCAAATCCATATGAGGTAGTGATCACAATATAGTAGCCATATCTAGGAAAACCAAAGTTCCAAAGGCTGGGCCTAATATAGTGTATAAGAGGTCATACAATATGTTTAGTAGTGATTCTTATGTTGATGATGTAAATAATATTTGCTGGTCTGTGGTGTGTGATGAGGAGCAACCAGACGCTGCACTTGACACATTTATGAAATTGTTTATTCCAGTTACTAATAAACATGCACCCATTAAGAAAATGACTGTAAAAACGGTTAAATCCCCTTGGATTGATGAGGAATTTAAAAATTGTATGGTTGAGAGGGATGAGGCAAAAGGTATGGCAAATAAGTCTGGCAGCCCAACCGATTGGCAAACGTACTGCAAATTGAGAAATCATGTGACTAAACTAAATAAAAAGAAACTATACTATGAAACAAAAATAAACGATTTAAAGAATGATAATAAAAAGCTTTGGAGCACCTTATATGAAATGTTGGGAAAAAAGGCAAACTCGGCTCCATCATTCACTGAATCAGATGGCTCATTCATCACAAAACCCACTGATATTGCCAACAAATTCAATGATTTTTTCATTGGCAAGAATAGCAAACTTAGGCATGACATGCCAGCAACAACTGCTGACACTACACATCCAAGTATATCTGACCAAATAATGAAAGTGAGTGTGGAAGAGGTGAACAAATTATTGTTGTCTATCAACAATGACAAGCCACCGGGGTCTGATAACCTGGATGGAAAATTACTGAGGATAATAGCAGACGATCTTGCCACTCCTATTTGCCATATCTTCAATTTAAGTATACTAGAAAGTGTGCCCTCAGGTCTGGAGGGAAGCAGAATTCATTCTGCTACCCAATAATAGTAAAGCCCCCTTTACTGGCTCAAATAGCCGACCAATCAGCCTGTTACCAACCCTTAGGAAACCTCTGGAAAAAATTGTGTTTGACCAGATACAATGTTATTTTCCAGTAAACAAATTGACAACAGACTTTCAGCATGGACAGCACTTACACAAATGACTGATGGTTGGCTGAGAGAAATTGATGATAAAAAGATTGTGGGGGCTGTTTTGTTAGACTTCAGTATGGCTTTTGACATTATCGATCATAGTCTGCTGCTGGAAAAACGTATGTATTATGGCTTTACACCCCCTTCTATATTGTGGATAAAGAGTTACTTGTCTAACAGAACACAGAGGGTGTTCTTTAATGGAAGCCTCTCCAACATAATCCATGTAGAATCAGTAATTCACCAGGGCAGCTGTTTAGGCCCCTTACTTTTTTCAATCTTTACTAATGACATGCCACTGGCCTTGAGTATAGCCAGTGTGTCTGTATGCGGATGACTCAACACTATACACGTCAGCTACTACAGCGACTGAAATGACTGCAACACTTAACAAAGAACTGCAGTTAGTTTCAGAATGGGTGGCAAGGAATAAATTAGTCCTAAATATTTCCAAAACTAAAAGCATTGTATTTGGGACAAATCATTCACTAAACCCTAAACCTCAACTACATCTTGTAATGAATAATGTGGAAATTGAGCAAGTTGAGGTGACTAAACTGCTTGGAGTAACCCTGGACTGTAAACTGTCATGGTCAAAACATATTGACACAACAGTAGCTAAGATGGGGAGAAGTCTGTCCATAATAAAGCGTTACTCTGCCTTCTTAACAACGCTATCAACAAGGCAGGTCCTACCTGGATTACTGTTCGGTAGTGTGGTCAGGTGCCACAAAGAGGGACTTAGGAAAATTACAATTGTCTCAGAACAGGGTAAACATGAAATATGACATTTACATAAGCATTCAGACCCTTTACTCAGTACTTTGTTGAAGCACCTTTGGCAGCGATTACAGCCTCGACCCGTCTTGGGTATGACGCTACAAGCTTGGCACACCTGTATTTGGGGAGTTTCTCCCATTCTTCTCTGCAGATCCTCTCAAGCTGTGTCAGGTAGGATGGGGAGTGTCGCTGCACAGCTATTTTCAGGTCTCTCCAGAGATGTTCGATCAGGTTCAAGTCCGGGCTCTGGCTGGGCCACACAAGGACATTCAGAGACTTGTCCCGAAGCCACTCCTGCGTTGTCTTGGCTGTGTGCTTAGGGTCGTTGTCCTGTTGGAAGGTGAACCTTCACCCCAGTCTGAGGTCCTGAGCGCTCTGGAGCAGGTTTTCATTAAGGATCTCTCATTAAGGATCTCCCACCACCATGCTTCACCATAGGGATCGTGCCAGGTTTTCTCCAGACTTGACGCTTGGCATTCAGGCCAAAGAGTTCAATCTTGGTTTCATCAGATCAGAGAATCTTGTTTCTCATGGTCTGAGAGACTTTAGGTTTTGCAAACTCCAAGCGGGCTGTCATGTGCATTTTACTGAGGAGTGGTTTCCGTCTGGCCACTCTACCATAAAGGCCTGATTGGCAGAGTGCTGCAGAGATGAATGTCCTTCTGGAAGGTTCTCCCATCACCACAGAGGAACTCTGGAGCTCTGTCAGAGTGACCATCAGGTTCTTGGTCACCTCCCTGACCAAGGCCCTTCTACCCCGATTGTTCTGTTTGGCCGGGCAGCCAGCTCTAGGAAGCGTCTTGGAGGTTCCAAACTTCTTCCATTTAAGAATGATGGAGGCCACTGTGTTCTTCAATGCTGCAGAATTGTTTTGGGTACCCTTCCCCAGATCTGTGCCTCGACACAATCAAGTCTCGAAGCTCTACAGACAATTCCTTCGACCTCATGGCTTGGTTTTTGCTCTGACATGCACTTTCAACTGTGGGACCTAACATAGCAGGTGTGTGCCTTTCCAAAACATGTCCAATCAATAGAATTTACCACAGGTGGACTCCAATCAAGTTGTAGAAACATCTCAAGGATGTTTAATGGAAACAGGATGCACAAAAATAGCTAAAAATCAGTTTTTGCTTTTTCATTATGGGGTATTGTGTGTAGATTGCTGAGGATGATATTTTATTTAATCAATTTTAGAATAAGGTTGTAACGTAACAAAATATGGAAAAAGTCAAGGGGTCTGAATACTTTCCGAAGGCACTGTACATTGTAATATTGTTGTATGGTGGTATTATACATTTTGTATCGTAGATATGTAGTGGTGTAATAATGTTATATGATGTACTGTTTTATCTTTTGTTTATGTGTAATGTAAGTGCCTTAGACGGTCCAAATACTGCCTTAGCAACAGCTAACGGGGATCCCTAATAAATACAAATGACCAAAATCACCCTCTTTGGCCTCATGGGTGGACTGTTATTCATCTTTTTCATAATGTCATAATTCATCAAGATTATTTCCAAAAACCCGATAAAATCCGGTGTTTCTATGTCAAACAGTTTTGTTACATTTCAATCTTCTGTGATGTATATACAGTGTAATATTGGGATGCAAACTCAAAATGGAATATAAATAAATAAAATAAAATTAAATATATTTCAACTCTATATCTGACATGGTACAGGTGTCTTCTTTTTTTTTAACCATAACCATGTGTGTGAGGTGTATACTTTTGTTTCAAACTAAATTTGTTTAAGACTGCAGTAATTAAGGAACTTGACAAAAAAATATATATATATATTTGAACCAAACTTTTCCTAAAAGTTCAAACATGGTTACATTTATATTTCAATGAGGGTAATGTTCTAGAAACATTCTCCATCTGATTTGACATTGGGAATGTTCTCAAATAGTTCATAGAACGTTAAGAAACAACGTTCTTCTGTGGGACATTCAGTACTTCAGCATAACGTTTCCCTACAGGTTTCCTTGTGGTTCTATTTAAAGTAATGCTGTCAAATTGTTCCAAGAACGTTAGGAAACAACATTCTTCTGTGGGAATTTCAGTACTTCAGCATAATGTTTCATAAAGGTTTCCTCATGGTTCTATTTAAAGTCATGTTCCAAATTGTTCCGAGAACATTAAGAAAACTTTCCATAAAAACCACAAGGAACTTTGGTAACGTTCAGAAAACGTTCTAAGAATGTTATTTAAAAACATATACATTCCGTTCTCAGAACGTTAAGAAAACTTTCCATAAAAACAACAAGGAAACTTTAGTAACGTTCAGAGAACGAGAAAAACATATATATTCTGTTCTCAGCAACAACAAAACTCTCTCTATCCTCTATCTTGTTAAGTGTGTTCAGGTATGTTGGCCGCGCCTGCCGCCCACTAATTGAGCGCTTTGTTTACTTTGAAATGGGGGCTGTTTGAATAGACTAAAATGAACAGCTTTGTATGTGTAAATTAATATGGCATGCTAGCTTCATCCTGGTGTCGCAGTGGACTAATTCCATCAATAGGGAACAGAAGATTATAGGTTTGAATCTCACTGATGCCGTGTCACAATAAAAAATTAATTAGGCATGATTAATGCTAAGGAAATGAATTTCCATCTGTCCTATCTGTGCTTGGAGTTTAAAAAAGTTAACCAAAAATAAGCTAGCAGTGTCATTAAAAGTCTTATTGAAACATTTAGTGGGCTTTTATGCAGTATATGCCTAATTTGAACATGCCCAAAGAATGGTTTACCTGAGGAACTTGTTGAGGTCCCCGTGCTTCATGTACTCAAACACCATGATGAGGGGATCGCTCTCCACACACACACCGTAGAAGGTGACGATGTGCTCGTGCTGCAGGTTGGTCAGCAACTCGGCCTCTCGGTGGAAGTCCTTCCTCGCATTCTCACTGGCCTCTTTCAGGGTCTGAACACACACACACACACACACACAAAGGTTACTACCTACGTTTACTCAGAACTCACTACATGCACACTGAGTTTGAGAAATGTTTACTGAGAGGGTAATATTCTGCCATAAGATGTTTTTGGCTCAAGTGCAGACTTAAAGTAAAAATGAGTTAGAGAAACCTAACCATAGCCCACAATGTTAGCTTATTGGCAATGACCAAGCAGAGATGGTGTATACTTGATTACTGTGACATTGTTTACAGAAGTAGTGTTGTTGGTTCTCGTGTTCTGATCATTGCTATTTTCATGAAATCTGTCATAGCGATTTTAGTGCAGAGGCAAATGCGAGAGAGAGAGAGAGAGAGAGAGAGAGAGAGAGAGAGAGAGAGAGAGAGAGAGAGAGAGAGAAGGAACGAGAGAAACAGAGAGGGATGAAGAGAGAGAGTTTCAGGAAATGTAAGTGATATGGGCCAATATTCATATCTACAGAAATATATAGAAATGATTCTGAATGAATAATTGATTTGGTCCTACAGATAGTGGGTCTATGAGTATATAGGGTGTTTTGTGCTTACAGAGAACTGAAGGGTCCGTTTACAAATAGGAACAGGATAGAGCTAAGGAAGCCAAAGGCTGACCCTCTGTTCTGACCCCCAGCTTGAATACTGAGATGCCAGAAAGATTGGTTAATCCACCCCCATCTTCAACTAATTACATTCCAGGAAACAGGACTCATCATTATGATCAGAACATAAATGGACTTGGGCAATGTTCCCTCAAATAAAATTGTCACTGAACAAATTTCAGGTCTGCTGAGCGCAAACCTGAACGTTGTGAAAATTCTGTAAAACTTCTGCCGCGCATTTACTGTGAACACTGAGGCTGTAGCTGCTTTAAGTTACAGTTTAACAGTGGCCAAGTAGGCTACTCTGGCTTTTTTATCATAATGCAGGCCTACCAGAGTGGTCTACCATCAAAAACAATGGAGAAAATGCATCCCATAATATTTTAACATGGAAATAGCTGTTCTACCATTCAGCCTACAGTAGCTGCCAATGTGTGGTGTTCAATGTAGGCTTACATTCCATTAGACTTTTGAAAAAAGGGCTTGACATTAACCTGTTTATCCACTTGTTTGATGCAAGAAACCACTTTACAAAATAAAATGCATTATTATTCCCATACCATTATTACAGAGAATCAGACAAATTATGCTACCCTCTGCCTATTGGCTACTTAGCTTATTCAAGCCTGTCTCAAAATACAACACTGCCCCTTTAAGACAAAAAAAGCTCTTTAACTGACTCACTTTTCAAAGATGTCTAGAAATGTACACGTTTTGTGCTCTTGTAGGAAGCAATTACGCCCCTATTGCTGACTACAAATTATCTATAACTGGGCTAATAGCTCACTAACTAGCAAAGGATATGAAATGTGCTACATGCAGCTCTTGCTTTGATCTCAAAACAAGCACATCTACTCACGACCACAGCTGTAAACACAGTCCAGTTCAAAGTAAATGGCACAGATCCATCACAGGAGGTTGGTGGCACCTTAATTGGGGAGAACGGGCTCGTGGTAATGACTGGAGCGGAATGGTATCATATACATCGAACACATGGTTTCCATGGTTCCCAGGTGTTTGATGCCATTCCATTTGTTCCGTTACGGCCATTATTATGAGCCGTTCTCCACTGAGATCCATATATGGTAATGGTCTATTTGAATATAGGCCTTCTGCAGCTCTGATTGGTTATGCCGCACCGGTCTGTGTAGAGTACAGGATGAGTCTTGCACAATAGAATCCTAGTCCGATGCGTTCTGCCTACAACAAAATCTCTTGCATAGTTTGTTTTGTTTCAGTATGTTGCACTGAATGTGGCTAATATTACGTTGATTCGATCACAATTGCCACAGTAAAGGGGAACGTTGATAGTGTTAACTAACAGGGAAAACTCTAGAAAGTTGAGTGAAGTTCAATCTTGTGCTTCTCTCCGTGGGCTGATAGTTCTTCTGCGCTCTGCTGCATGGCAGTCCCTGGGAGCTGCAAGGCAGTCTAGGGCTACTGCACGCCGGTGCACGAATGACCCAACATTGAAGTGCTTCTTTTTACGAATTCTGAAGTTTGTTCACACATACAGTAGAAGTTTGTTCACACATAGCTTTCAGGAAACTCACCCCTGAACGTGATTTACCTATGATATTGTATGACCGCGAGGACATTGGTGCGTTTGATTGCCTGTGTGACTTCTAGCATCTTTTCATGACTGCCAATGCATTAGCTAATATCACTAATATTACTGTTCTGTATCTTGATCGATGGCTCCCTTGTGTATTTTTCCATAAACATGGTAGCCTAGCCTATATTGCTGCATGCCTGTCCAATGTTTTCTTGTAAAACCATTACCATTAGTGGATATGAGTATGTTAGACCATAGAGACGGCAACTTGGAAAGTGCCAAGTCACATCTATCATCTTCAATGGCAGGTTGCTAGTATATACAGAAAAGCCCCACTTCACACTTAGAATACTGTGGGAGTCCCACAGTGGGACACAGAAAGGACAGGAAGTCAGGGGGAGGGGGTTTCTTTCCCATCATGTCATGTATTTTTTATGAAAACTCTCCAATAAGATCTCGTTTCACCACAGACTTGGAATTCTGGAATTCTTGGTGGAAGCATGCTATTGGCAGATTTTCCTACAGGACTGTTAGGGGGTTAGGGGTTAGGAGTCCATTTGGAAATTGGCCAAACAATGTAGCCTACAGTAGGTTGTGATAGACAGTAATGAGCAGTGTTACCTTGACAGCCACCAGGATCTTGTCGAGCTCAGGAGACAAGTTATAGCACTCGGCCAGGAAAACCTTGCCAAATGCCCCTTCTCCCAACTCCCTCTTCAGCACTATATTGTGCCTCTTGATGTGCTGGACAACTGCAAGACAGAGAGAACCTAGTTATTACGGATATCAGTGTGACTTCCTAAAATGGATGTATCATAGATGGTAAGAGATGGCTGATGGTTGGATAAGGGGACTGGGAGCCATCATTGGTTGCACCAAATTATCTATCTACTATTTTATTTATATTTATGGTGGTGAGCTGTATTGTCTAATCACTGTATTTTCAACTGAAAGTGAGTTTTACTATAGTGAGAATCATCAAAAATGTATGTTTGAAAGTCTATTTGAAACAGAGATTTTTGACTGAACAAATGCTGAGATCAGGCTGGGGGTAATAAAGTAGCAGGCTTTTCCCAGTGCTTTCTCCCAGAGCGGTTTTCATGCAGCCATATACTGTAGATGCTCTGCACCCACTTAACTCAACCCTGGCCTCCCTCTACAGCGCGAGGAAAGTGGAGAACACCAAAACATATTCATCAGCAGGTTACTGTCTTCAGAGAGAAAAATAGTGGACCCGGACACAAACCATCAAGATTTATTTCTGATCTGATTAAGAAATGCATTTGAAGGAAAGCTCACCACTCAGGCTATTGCATTACAGAGGGCTAGACTTTGAAGCTGCATCGATCTGCACTAACTTACTGACAACCATAACCCAATATTATGTAAAGAGACAGGGAGAGAAAGAGCCTAGGCCATTAGACCAGCACATACAGACTCAAGACCTGAGCACAGCTTTGTGTGTGTGTGAACCTGATGACATCACATCTGCCAAAACAACAGCTCAGGGAATTAATTACATGTAAGTTCCCACAGTTCCCAGAACATCTATCCACAAAAGCCACAACTCGTTACCATTGCTCACTAATTATCTTCTTTCCCAAACATAATAGCATGGTTACACAAATACTTTCAATTTAAAACTCACTTATTTTCACCATTACAACCATTACATCCATACAACTCAACAATTACCGCCAATTAATGTACAGTAAATGTACATTTACACAACCAAACTCTACACATGTACTCTTTTATCATTCTCTGTAAGTATGTAATATATACATGTCAACAAGAGGCATGTTCCCTGTCCAAATCCACCCCCCTTCCACTGTCTCTCATCCTCTCTAGTTTCAGCTAACTAGTTGTGCTTTTCCAAAGCCTCACTTCTGGATGGTGGGATAGGGGTTGGCTTTAGACTTTAGTCCCTGTGTTCTGATGTCATGGGTGAATGGGAGAATTTCCACAGGAGGACAGCCCTTCTGCAAGTAAACATCCTGGTAAAAATACATTTGTGAATCAAATTTTCCAGTACAATGTTAATCCTTCTAAACCCAGAGACCAGGATGGAGAGAACAAGAGGAAGAAACAGGGGTTGAGAGAAGAGTAGACTGCACTAGCAAAGGAGGAAACCTCTGTTGCGCCGGCCTTTAGTCTTTCAGTTGCAAGACATGCAAGTTGACAGTGCATTTGTATCTGTGAGTGTGTCTATCAGCCGGTGTGTGTGTGTGTGTGTGTGTGTATGTGTCTCTCCCGTTCTTAATGAGCTCTGTCCACTCTAATGAAATGGACAAACTAATGGAGGCCATTGATATTTTTCTAAGATATTAGAGTCACACCCACACCCCTGACAGACTACCTTACCTACACTGTTTATCTCTTCCTCATCAAAGTGAATACCACATTTACAGACACACATGCGCGCGCACACGACCACACACATATACTAAGTTGTACAGTATTGAGTGTCATTGACTGACATTTTATGAATCTATTTTTTGGGGCTGCAGAGACCAGTCAGACCACAGCCTTCTCTCCATTGACCCAGACAGGAGAAGAAACTGGAGACAGACATGCACATACATGCACACGTGCACACACACATACACACACACACGATTTGTTCTTCTATCCTCATGGGGACCTAAAATTAATTTCCATTCAAAATCCTAATTTCCCTAACCCTTACCCTAACCCTTTTCTTACCATAACCCTAACCCTAACACTAAACATAACCTTAACCTGTAACCCTCACTCAAACCCTAAACCTAACTCCTAACCCTAATTCTAACTCTAATTGCAACCCTAACACTAAACCTAACCCTTAATTTTAATATATCCTTTGTCCTCATGGGGAGGTGGGAAATGTCCCCACGAGGGAAAATTGTCCTTGTTTTACTATGTTTGTGGGGACTTTTGGAGATTTTAGGTCAAAAACTATAGATTCAATGGTTGTAAAGATGGGGAGAGGTCTGTCCGTAATAAAGAGACGCTCTGCTTTTTTGACACCACACTCCACAAAGCAAGTTCTGTAGGCTCTAGTTTTGTCTAATCTTGATTATTGTCCAGTCGTGTGGTCGAGTGCTGCAAGGAAAGACCTAGTTAAGCTGCAGCTGGCCCAGAACAGAGCGGCACATCTTGCTCTTCATTGTAATCAGAGGGCTGATATAAATACTATGCATGCCAGTCTCTCTTGGCTAAGAGTTGAGGAGAGACTGACTGCATCACTTCTTCTTTTTATAAGAAACATGAATGTGTTGAAAATCCCAAATTGTTCCATAGTCAACTTACACAAAGGTCTGACATACACACTTACCCCACCAGACATACCACCAGGGGTCTTTTCACAGTCCCCAAATCCAGAACAAATTCAAGAAAGTGTACAGTATTATATAGAGCCATTATTGCATGGAACTCCATTCCATCTCATATTGCTCAAATAAACAGCAAACCTGGTTTAAAAAAACAGATAAAACAACACCTCACAGCACAACGCCTCTCCCCTATTTGACCTAGATAGTTTGTGTGTATGTATTGATATGTACGCTACGTGTGCCTTTAAAAAAATGTATGTAGTTCTGTCCTTGAGCTGCTCTTGTCTATTCATGTTCTGTATTATGTCATGTTTCGTGTGGATCCCAGGAGGAGTAGCTGCTGCATTTGCAACAGCTAATGGGGATCCTAATAACATTCCAAATACCTTAGACCGCTGCGCCACTCGGGAGGCCAGCCAATAAATTTTTTGAAATAAAATGTCAGTCTGTACAACTTCGTGTGTTTGTGTGTGTTTGTCACACACACACAGAGAGAGAGAGAGAACGCGTCCTGTCCCACTCAACACATTTTATCAGCAGCTCCAAGGCCATTTCCATAGCAGCAGAGATGGTGTTGCTATGGCAACCCATGCATACGCACATTCAGGTGTGGGTTCTTAGATGGCATCTAAAATATGTGTTGGTGTAACAGATTCATGGTCACATCAGCACTCAGATCCCCTGAGATCTCCTAGTCTGCAGGTTACTCTTCTTCGCTACAAATCAAATAAAATTGTATGTCACATGCGCCGAATACAACAGGTGTAGACCTTACAGTCAAATGCTTACTTACAAGCCCTTAACCAACAATGCAGTTTTAAGAAAAATAAGTGTCAAGTAAAAAATAGATAACAAAAAATTATTAAAGAGCAGCAGTAAAATAACAGTAGCGAGGCTATATACAGGGGGTACTGGTACAGAGTCAATGTGCGGGGGCACATGTTCGTCGAGGTAATTGATCACATTAATGGAGAGGTTGTTATCCTGGCACCACACGGCCAGGTATCTGACCTCCTCCCTCTAGGCTGTCTCATCGTTGTTGGTGATCAGGCCTACCACTGTTGTGTCATCGGCAAACTTAATGATGGTGTTGGAGTCGTGCCTGGCCATGCAGTCATGGGTGAACAGGGAGTACAGGAGGGGACTGAGTACCCCTGAGGGGCCCCCGTGTTGAGGATCAGCGTGGCAGATGTGTTGTTACCTACTCTTACCACCTGGGGGCGGCCCGTCAGGAAGTCCAGGATCCAGTGTTTAGTCCCAGGGTCCTTAGCTTAGTGATGAGCTTTGAGGGCACTATGGTGTTAAACGCTGAGCTGTAGTCAATGAATAGCATTCTCACATTTGTCCAGGTGGGAAAGGGCAGTGTGGAGTGCAATAGAGATTGCATCATCTTTGGATCTGTTGGGGCGGTTTGCAAATTGGAGTGGGTCTAGGGTTTCTGGGATAATGGTGTTGATGTGAGCCATGACCAGCCTTTCAAAGCACTTCATGGCTACAGACGTGAGTGCTACTGGTCGGTAGTCATTTAGGCAGGTTACCTTAGTGTTCTTGGGCACAGGGACTATGGTGGTCTGCTTGAAACATGTTTGTATTACAGACTCAGTCAGGGACAGGTTGAAAATGTCAGTGAAGACAATTACCAGTTGGTCAGCGCATGCTCGGTGTACACGTCAAGGTAATCTGTCTGGCTCTGCGGCCTTGTGAATGTTGACATGTTTAAAGGTCTTACTCACATCGGCTACGGAGAGCGTGATCACACAGTCATCCGGAACAGCTGATGCTCTCATGCATGCTTCAGTGTTGCTTGCCTCGAAGCGAGCATAGAAGTAATTTAGCTAGTCTGGTAGGCTCGTGTCACTGGGCAGCTCGCGGCTGTGCTTCCCTTTGTAGTCTGTAATAGTTTGCAAGCCCTGCCACATCCGACGAGCGTCGGAGCCGGTGTAGTACAATTCAATCTTAGTCCTGTATTGACGCTGTGCCTGTTTGATGGTTCGTCGGAGGGCATAGAGGGATTTCTTATAAGCGTCCGGGTTAGAGTCCCACTCCTTGAAAGCGGCAGCTCTACTCTTTAGCTCAGTGCGGATGTTGCCTGTAATCCATGGCTTCTGGTTGGGGTATGTACATATGACGTCATCGATGCACTTATTGATGAAGCCAGTGACTGATGTGGTGCACTCCTCAATGCCATCAGAAGAATCCCGGAACATTTTCCAGTCTGTGCTAGCAAAACAGTCCTGTAGCTTAGCATCTGCATCATCTGACCACTTCCTTATTGATGAGTGCTTCCTGCTTTAGTTTTTGCTTGTAAGCAGGAATCAGGAGGATGGAGTTATGGTCATATTTGCCAAATGGAGGGCGAGGGAGAGCTTTGTACTCGTCTCTGTGTGTGGAGTAAAGGTGGTCTAGAGTTTTTTTTCCTCTGGTTGCACATTTAACATGCTGGTAGAAATTAGGTAGAACGGATTTAAGTTTCCCTGCATTAAAGTCCCCGGCCACTAGGAGCGCTGCATCTGGATGAGCGTTTTCCTGTTGATTTATGGCCTTATACAGCTCATTCAGTGCAATCTTAATGCCAGCATTGGTTTGTGGTGGTAAATAGACAGCTACGAAAAATATAGATGAAAACTCTCTTGGTAATAGTGTGGTCTACAGCTTATCGTGAGATACTCTACCTCAGGCGAGCAAAACCTCGAGACTTCCTTAATATTAGATTTCGTGCACTAGCTGTTTTTTACAAATATACACAGACCACCACCCCTTGTCTTACCGGAGGCATCTGTTCTATCTTGCCGATGCAGCGTATATCCCGCCAGCTGTATGTTATCCATGTCATCGTTCAGTCACGACCGGGTAAAACATAAGATATTACAGTTTTTAATGTCCCGTTGGTAGGATATCCGTGATCGTAGTTAGTCTATTTTGTTATAGTAGGCTATGTCTGGTCAGAATATGTTGTTACCCATTGAAAGGAACTGGTGGTGAAAGAAAGCCATTCATATGGGTGTCGCATACTTGTCTCCGTGCGTGTGTGTGTGTGTGTAAGCCATGGTCTTGTTGTACTACTCACAGGTGTCTGATTTAAGCATGCTGTTGCTGCGGAAGTACTGAGGGTTCTCGATGACGGGGATCTTGGTCATGCCGATGATGACGGCGTCTGGGCCCATTTCAGAGGAGGACGGAGTGTTACTGCCGTTGGACACGTGGTGGAGAGGAGAGGCTGAGTCGTCATCGTTACTGATCACAGACGATGCACCTGAGAGAGGAGAGAAAGCGAGGAGAGTGGAATTAAGTGTGAGAGAGAAGGTAAAAGAGAGGAGAGAGATGAAGAGAAGAGATGAAGAGAGGAGGAGAAGAGAAGAGAAGAGAAAGGGAGAAGGGAGAAATGGTGTTTGAGGAAAATGAAAGTGGAAGAATGAAAGAAACAAATGGAAGGGGAGGCATGTTTTTGTCTTAGCAAAAAGCACAAATCTCAATTACATACCAATCACCACACCTGTCCTTGTTCATTGTCAAAACCCATATCCAAAGCACGTAATACAGGTTTAACGTCATTTTATATGCAATGTTACAAGAGGTAATAATCAAATATTGTTAAATAGTACATTCTGAGTACATTTTGAATTGTTACTGTCTAGGATTTCATTGGTCTCCTCTGACCCACCAACAGAAAAATTGTCTTTAAAAGGGAAATCTGTGGTTCAAACAACAACAGTGTATTCCCCACCACTGTTTCGGTAAACATTTTTAAGTTTTACATTCAGCAGACGCACTTATCCAGAGTGACTTACAGGAGCAATTAGGGTTAAGTGCCTTGCTCAATGGCACAGACAGACTTTTCACCTAGTCCACTCGGGGATTCGAACCAGCAACCTTTCGGTTACTGGCCCAACGCTCTTAATCACTAGGCAACTTTCCCCCTCCCGTAAACAGCTAAGGGATGGGGCTGGAGAAATGTAACCACTCTCAAATGCATAGACAGCTATGGATGCAAGATCAGACAATAGAACTAAGCTCATGAGGCATTTATAGTCAAGTTCCTCAAGATCATATATCATGAATTTACAAGTCTATGAATGGATTTGGCAATTGCAAATTACCTCTTTTAAAAAAAAAAATATTCAATTGTATTTATGTATCCCCTCATGGGCAATAAATGTACAGCAGTAGTTAAGGTCATGGTGACAGAAAGTGTGTTGATAGAGTACTTTGTGAATGTGGAGAGAGAATGATGGTCTGACGCTGAGCCTGTGCTCATTCCTTTGTTGTCCATCATTTCTCTGTGGACCAAACTTTGTTTCTTCTCTGGTTTCCACTTCCATCCCAAAATAAATAATTAAGCTCTTATTCTCATACACCCAGTCTCAATCTCTAAACACGAACACATACACACGCCCAACAGTGTTGTTTTTGGAGCAGTAGAGTCATGGCAGTGGTGCATTCCTAAGAAGGAGGAGGCAGTTGAAAAGGACAGAGAAAACAAAGCAGGATTGTCTCTCAGCAGGCTTCTAAGGTTGTGTGTGTGTGTGTGTGTGTGTGTGTTTGTATGTCTGTGTGCTAGTGTGTGTGTGTGGGTTGATGCTTCCATGCATGCACCCTGATCATTGGATTGTGGTGAAAAATGACTGGTATGTTCCTACAAGTCAAAGCACAGGTCTGTCGAAAACAGTCACTGCATTGTGTTGGAAGGAAGCACAATAACCCCTGACACATGACAGCAGCACTCATGAAAAGTATTGTAGCGACCCTTACCAAGGTAATAAAGAGGCAGTTATGATCTCCCTCAAGAGGGTTAAGCCTAGTGGAGCAGTGGTTAGCAAGTTAACTATCCCGTGATGGGATGATTTACCCTATTTCATATTGACTAAGGCCAGGAGTTTTTCCTCACCATGACATCTGACCAGTAAAACCTCTATAGGGGTCCTAGTTTATGACTAAATGCGAGCCTTGCCTCCTGGCGGTTTGAGAATCCAACTAAACTTTCCAATCTCATAACACCGGACTTCTTTCGTCCTGCCTTTCTTTGCTGGGCTCCCGTGGCTTCTCTCTGCTACTTGAGGTTCAAGCAGGGCGAGGACACTAGCACTCTACAGAGGAGCTCTTTCATTCTCCACCACTAATGTGTTGAGTGGTTTCTCCGCAAACAGGCTTCTCTCTCCCATGTGGGTGCTCAAATTATGTGCCACCATTATGCCCCCCTCTCCACCTCCATCCTCAGGAAGAGCCATGACGCCACCATATTGTAAAGTAGTGGCTGCACTTCAATGCATTGTTGAGACTGGAGAGGCGTCCATCTTGGATCTGACTGGACCCCACTGTTCTGGGCAGTGGAGCCACTACTGCTCTGACTGAGAGCAGTGATCCTCTGAGCACGGCTGGTCTAATCAGGTTGACCTGCAGTGCACAGCCTGGTAGACGACAGGCAGTTGGATGATGTATATGACTTACCAGAGACCGTGACGTCAGGAGGCCCACATACAGGCCTCTCTGAACCCCACAGAAACACACTCTAGGCCTGACACAATCTGAGAGTAATGAACTTCTCCTCGTTCTGTATCTCAATCAAACGCCAGATACTACAGTAATTAGCGAGTTACGGTTTTCAGCCAAGACATTAGAGGGCATGTGCATAAAAAAAACACACACACAGCATCCCTAGCAGGTTATTGTCTGTAAGTGAGTGTGTATGTGGGGGGGCTGCTCACTTTTAATGTGAGGTCCGGGGTCAGATCGTTATAAATTCTATTTAGCCTGGAGGAGGGAGGGGAGGGGAGGGAATGGGGCCACAGAGCAGGTCGGTGGGCCGCGGGGAGTCGTTTGGGGCTGGGGGGTGTAGGTAAAAGCGTAAGTGGGGTCAGGTTCTGACCTAACACCATTTAACAGACAGAGAGCTGCTCCGCTGCTGGGGTGGGGTGGGCTGGCTGGCTGGCTGGACTGGGGGGTGACTCCATCACTATATCAACCAGCTCTCACAGTCTCACATCAGAATTAGACGTTCATCCATGTTTCTCAAACGTCAAATGTTGAAGTTGTTCCAAACGTCAAATTTCAAAGTGTTTAAGGTTAAGTTCAGGCATTAACTCCAAATTCTTAAGGTTAGGCATTAACTCTGATTGGTTAAGGTAAGCGTTAAGGTTTAGGATAGGCTTAAAACAAAAATCTCAAAAACAACTTTCTATCGCTGGATTCGAACTTGCAACCTTTGGAATCAAAGGCAGATGCTTAGTGGCCGGTTTCCACATCATCTCCCGACGTCCTCAGACATGGACGGACGTCGAATACTAACTTGTATCACCGGTGACCTGGCTGACTATATTGATCTCCTCTGGCTCGCTGGGCGCGCTTCCTTAGACAGACAGACAGCAGCAGAACATTTATTGGACATGGGGTTTAAGGGCTGCTGGGGTTATGGACATGTGGAGTGTATTAAACGGTTTAAAATGGCATTATGTCTGGGTTGTTAAAATTAGGTGAGATGCTGAGGAGATTGAACGTCCATTTCAGACGTGCTCAGTGCTAACCGGCAGTGATGTAGAGTGACCGGCAAAGTGTCCTGTCACCACTCTGGTCCACTGACACTCCCCTATCAGCCACCCCCGTGCCCTCCAGCAGGGTAACACGATCATTTTGCTCTCTAAATGCACCTCTAACCCCGCTGAACACAGGAAGTGATCTATCAATCTCACATACACTAAGGAAAGGAGGGGTGGAGGGTGAGAGAAAAAAGGGTAAGGAGGAATGCGAGGAGAGGGGGAGGGATAGAGAAAGGAAGGTTATGAGCAGGGAGAGATGGAGGGAAAGGAGATAGGCAGGGGGTTGATGGGCAAATTAATGAATTGAATAGGGGGAGAGAGAGAAGACTAATGGAGATAGAAGGAAGGATACAATTTCATTTACACTGCAATTTAAATACAGGCTCTGAATCCAGCCCTCTCAGTACCTGCCAGAACAGGACCTAGCTGCAGTCAACAGCATATCAGATTCCTAACCAAACACCCCCTCCATGTAAAAATAGAGATTTCTCTTGCTCTCTTTCTCTGTCAGTGCTTTTCTATTTTTAATAAACAAACCACATTCACCTTCTCATATGCCACTAGGAAACCAGCTCACCTCCTCCCACTCAACACAAGCAAAGGTGACGAGAGAGAAGGAAAAGGAGGGAAAATGGAGTAGAGTGGAGGGAGGAGGAATAATGAAAAGGGAAGAGAAAGAGAGACAGGCAAAGAACATAAATTGTTCATCCCTATACTGTTTGACATTTTGACAATCCAGTCCGAGTGTCATTGAGGGCTTTGAATTGCCCCCTTTCAGCAACTGTGTGTGTGTGTGTGTGTCAGTCATGTCCATGCTGCGCTCATGGCCTGTGTGTGGTCGGAGTGTGTGGATGGGCTTCTACAAAACCCAAACACACACTCTGGAGAGGGGGAGGAAGGACAGAGAGGGAGGACACTTGAGAAAAAAGCATTCACTTCAATGATGTTAAGTGACTACTAATATACAGTTCCATTTGTTTTTATTGTCTACGAGTGAGCCTCAATATGCCTCTTGGATATGACGTAAAAACACTACAGAAATCAATCCCATAATGTATAGCACAACAACCACATAATACACTTACAAGAGGCTCTTGGCCCTGGATATTCCAGCAAGCAGCCTCTATAAAAACATATTTTATATTGTATATCGGAGTGTACACACATATTCCAATAGAAAAACAACCATAAAATGAAAAAAAGTGCAATCAAAAATGTGATTTTCCTATGTTTTATTTATATGTGATCCACCACCTCAATTCGGTCTTATGTAGCAACATTTTAAATGTTTTTTTTTTTTACATTGGATAAAATTACAGACTTCAAAATGGTATATCATACACTGCAGTTGAGTAAGAATGGGAAAGTAATTCTGCTTTGAAAGTAGATAAACTTGTAACCCCACTTTTGAGAAAATGGCCCTTGAATGTTTTGGTACACCTACTGGAGAGCTCTTCTTTGTCTACACCCATTCAGCATCATTCACACCCTCTTAAACCTTAGCCCCACCCGTCTCTTTAAGGATTCACATGTGAGGCCATGTGCTAAACAGAGTAAGGTAGTGTAGTAAACAACCAAAAATGTCAAGACTAAAAGTGGTGAAAGTAGTAGCAAAAAGCAGTAGTAAAAATACACGTTATCTAGTACTTGGCCTATATCCTAATCTGACTTCGGTGCAGGTCATGTTGTTCTTTACATTACCGTCTGTGGTAAACACACATTATATCAAATAAAAGCTATGTTTATTTGTCAAATGCACAGGATACAAAAGGTGTAAATGGTACAGTTAAATGGTTACTTGCATATTTGCATAGTAGAAATATCAAAAATAGATAAAAATATTGTATAAATATTAGATGATGCTTACCCGACACACTTGCCTAAATTAATGGGTAATGTGAAATAAATGCTATAACCACCCCCCAGCCACATCTAGCTAAGTGGATGGGTCGCTATTATCTAGACATGTACACATGT